ATCTCACCCCAGTCAGAATAGCAAAATTTAACAGAACAGCAAGCAACAAATGCTGGCGAGGTTGTGGAGAAACTGGAACCTTTATTCACTGTTGGTGGGAATGTAAAATGGTGTAACCACTGTGGAAGGCAGTATGGAGCTTTCTCAAAAAGTTGCAAATAGAGATACCATTTGACCCAGCAATTCCACTACTGGGAATACACCCCAAAGAGACCATAACTGACATTCAAACAGATATATGCACACCCATGTTTACTGTGGCTTTATTCACAATAGCAAGGAGTTTGAAACAACCCAGGTGCCCAAGAACAAATGAATGGCTAGAGAAGCTGTGGTATATTCACACAATGGAATACGACGCTGCATTGAAAAACAAGGAACTCATATTATTCAAAATGGGTGAGCCTGGAGGACATTATGTTGAGGGAAATATCTCAGTCGCAAAAGGACAAATATTGCATGATGCCACTGCTGTAAAATGGGACTGATATCAGGTTTGGGGTAAGACTGAGAAAAACTGGATAAATTGTGTATACTGCACTGAAACAGATGAGGGAGAGAATAATTTAAAAGCGATGTATGATAGGGTATTATGGTTATCACAAGAGTCCACAATTAAGGTTGCGTAGTGGAATGTACTTGGGGTGGTGAGACGGGTGCGGGGGGACTGTGTACCAGGGAGGGAGTTTTTCTTTTACTTTTCAAAGAGAGGAGAGAACTGGGGGGGTGGGGAGGGCTGGGTGGGAGAGAAGTGCAGCAATGAATGAATGGAAATCCAAAATCTCTGTAAATGTTCATTAAAATTATTAAAATGTAAAAAATTACCCAAAAAATTTTGTTGTTGTTGTTGTGTGCCATCAAATCAGATCCAAGTGGCACAGGAGGAGATTGCCTCTCCTCCAGCAGAGCATCTGGTGGATTTGAACTACTTGCTTTTGGGATTGCAGTGCAGCTTCTTGGCACTAGGCCACCAGAGTGCCCTCACTTTTTTTTCTTTTCTTTTCTTTTATATTGGTTTGCTTACAAAGTTCATATACATTGTATTTCACACTATTTTTCATTCACATAGTATTTCGTACAATCATTTCCAAGCATTATGCTTTACAAAATTAATCACCATTGGACCTATCATTACCTTCTCTTTCCAGGTCCCCACTGGATTCTTCCCATATTCTTTACCCACCAAATTGTACAACCCTATGGTTTTACCCCTACCCTTTCTCACCCCTCTGCTCCCATTCTTTCCCTCACTTGGGTCCCCATACATGGTTTACTAGTTATTCACCATCACAGGAACATGGAAACAGTCCAAATGTCCAACCACAGCTGAATGGATTAAGAAATTGTGGTACATTCACACAATGGAATACTAGGCAGCACTCAGGAGCACCGGTTTTGAAAAATAACTTGATAGACACTGGAGAGCATTATGCTGAGTAAACTAACTCAGTCTCATAAAGACAAATACTGCTAAGACTATTACTTTAAAAATAGAAAGATAATAGGTAAAACATCTGAACACATTTTTAAAGAAACAAACATTTCTATTCCTCTGATGTGAGTGGAAATAGACACTGAGAAAGAGAGAGGTTTACTAGAATGAATTGAGAGGAAGCAGAGGCAATACGATATACTCAGACAAGGTGCTGTAGAAACAACTAAAACAAGTCTAAAGAACATGCTTAAGCTCAATGATTTAAATTATTCCTCCTATTCATCTTGTTTAGGGAGCTTTGGTGGCTTAGTGGTAAGGAGTTGCACTGCCAACTCAGAGGCAAGCAGTTCGAATCCACCAGCTGCTCCATGGAAGAAGAATTTTCTCCCAAGTAATTCACTGTTTCTGAAAACCTGCTGGCTGGTGAGCTAGGAATTGGTGCCCACTCGCCGGTACACAACAACAACATCAACAATTACTTTGTTTAGGAGTCGTTTGTGAATCCAAAGACTATGGCTTGGATCCACCCAGGGGCTTCACATGACAAAGACCTAGAGATATGTTTCTATTAATGTTGTTGTGCCTTTGAGTAGAAACCAACTCATAGCTGACCATCCAGTGGGTTTTCAGAGGCTGTAAAATGCAAGAGAGGAGACTGCCCATCTTTCTCCTCCTGTACAGCTGTGGGTGGACCCAAACCATGTGCCTTTGCTTTGACACGAGACCACCAGAGCTGTAAAGATTACAGCCTTGTAAATCCTGTGGGACAGTTTCATTTTGTCACATGAGGTTGCTATGACTTGACAGCACTTAATCACAATTATGTTGTTTATATTGTTCTCTGCTTATTAAACCTTTTCTCATAGACATGTGAACTTTAATACCTCCTGACTCAAATAAATCTCAAATTGCTTAAATTTTGGGTATTGCTATCCAGATTAAAACATTTCTTTATTTTTGTAATTCATAAGAAGGAAGTAGGGGAGCTCTGGTGGCCTAGTGGCAGGGATCTGCAACTACAATCCCAGAGGCACGCGGTTCGAATTCACCAGATGCTCTGCAGGGGAAGGAGGGACAATCTCCTCCTGTACCAGTCAGATCTGATTTGATGGTAGACACACACACACACACACACACTAAAATTAAATAAAAAAAAAGAAGAAGGAAGTAAAAAAATATTTCTATTTACCCCGGGGAGAGCTGAGAACTGAGAACGCATTGCTTTCTTCACACAAAACTCAATTCAAACTCACTGTTGGCAAGTTGGTTCCAACCCATAATCAACTTCCATTGGGTGTCAAGATTGTAAATTTTTTTTTTTTACTTTTACTGATAGGTTTATTTCAGTACCAAGTTTTATAATTTTCCTTGATATTCCCTTTCTTTTCTTTTTTTACATTGTGTTTTATTTATTTACTTTTTAAAATTAATTTTAATGAACATTTACAGAGATTTTGGATTTCCATTCATTGCTGCACTTCTCTCCCCACCTAGCCCCCAGTTCGCTCCTCTCTTTTAAAAGTAAAAGAAACACTCCTTCCCTGGTACACAATCACCCCCCGACACACACATACCCCTCACATCACCCCAAGTACATTCCACTATGCAACCTTAATTGTGGACTCTTGTAAGATTGTAAATCTTAACAGGAAGACACTGCTTGTCTTTTCCTCATGGAGCAACTGGCAGATTTGAACCACTGGACCCTTTGAGTTAGTATTGCAACTTGCTCCAGACACGGCCAGAGCTCTCCTCTTAACTTTTTGCTGGCAACTGCAATGTGTCAAAAAGTTGTCAAAAAAATCTTTCCCCTTATTACAGTCGAGCCCTGGACAAGTGCTGGAATTAGAGTGAGTTTGGGCAGAAGTGAGTGGAGAAAGGTGACGTGCAGCCTGTCCACTGAGGGAAGACTCACATCAGCTCGTCCTGATCACTGAATCAACAGCTCACACAACCGTGTAAATGTCTATGGAGATTGAGTGTTCATCATATTATTAAAAGCCCTACGTTAAGTAAATTGTTGTTGTTAGGTGCCATCACGTCAACGACGACTCCTAGCGGCGCTATGAACTATACCATCCTCCTCATCTCCGTCATGAACAAGCCCACTGTGGTAACCACTGCGTTAATCCACCTTGTAGAAGGTCTTCCTCTTTTTCTCTGACCCTCCACCTTTTGGATATTGTTCCCTGGCTTAGGACTTGCTTCTAAATTCACAAAATTTTTCCTTGACCTACAATTCCCTTGTGAAAGTTCCTTTACTTCAGTAGGTTCTTAACAATACACTCTTAAGGGAGCTCTAGTGTCCTAGTGGCAAGAAGCTGCACTGCAGTCCCAGAGGTGTGCAGTTCGAATCCACCAGATGCTCTGCTGGAGAAGGAGGGGCAATCTCCTCCTGTACCAGTCAGATCTGATTTGACAGTACACACACACACACACAAACAAATAAAATAAAACAAAAATTAAAACAATACCCTCTTGTGAGAGGGGGAAAAAAAGAAAAAAAGAAAGTTCTGGAAATTCTAAGCCATTTCAGAGATATCACCTTTCATGATATCTCTCTCCCGGGACTGGTTCCTCCTGAGAATGTATCTGAAGATAAGTAAGACGAAGTTTCACCACACTTGCGTCTAAGGAACAAGCACTCTGGTTACATTTCCATTAAGACCAATTTGTTTGTCCTTTAGGCGGTTCATGAAATGTTCCAATACTCTGCAAATGTCACAATAAATAGAGAGCTACCATACAGGTTAGTGACGACAGTGCCTCAATTATTAATATTGGGAGTCAACTCATTGATACTCATTGATAATCACTTAGGATTAGTGAGAGCTAAAATAAAAAACTAGTACATAAACTAAAATGATGAATTACACCTTTCAGTGTTGTTGTTAGGTGCTGTCTAGTCAAGTACAACTCATAGTGACCCTGTGAACAAAAGATCTGAACCCAGTTCTGTCCTGCGCCATCCTCACACTTCCTGACACACAAGAGCCCATTGCAGCAGTCACCATGTCAGTCCACCTGGTTGAGGGTCTTCCTCTCCTTCACTGACCTTTCACCCTTCCAAACATCATGGCCCTCTCCAAGGAATAGCACCTCCTAGTAATATGTCCAAAATATGTAAGGTGAAGACATATCATTCTTGCCTCCAAAGAGCACACTGGTTGCACCCTCTTCAAGACATATCTGTTCATTCTCTTGGCCGTCCATGGGTTGCCCAGCCCTCTTCTCCAACATCACAGCTCAAAGGTGTCAATTCTTTTTTTGTCATCCTTAGTCATTGTCCAGGTCTCAGATGCATAGCTAGTAATCAGAAAAATTATGGCCTGAATCAGACGCACCTTTGTCCTCAAACTGACATTAATCCTCCTCAATAATTCCTAAAGGCCCCTAACTGCAGATTTTCCCAGTGAAATGTGTCTCCTTATTTCCTGACTGCTGGTACCATGGATCCAAGCAAGATGAAGCTGTTGACAGTTTCAATCTCCTCTCCATCCATCATGACACTGCCTATTGATCCAGTGGTAAGAATCTTTGTTTTCTTGATATTGAGACACAATCCATACCAAAGACTGCAACAAGTGCTTCAAGTCCTCCTCACTTTCAGCAAGCAAGGTTGTGTCATCTACATAACGCAGGTTATTGATGAGTCTCCCCCGATCCTGATGCCAAATTCCTCTTCATAGAGTTCAGCTTCTCAGATAACTTTCTCAGCATATTAATTAAATCTTTAGGTACTAACCAAGAAATATGCCAAATCACAGTGATAAGATTATATAGAAAACACATTCCACAGGGGATTTACAGCTTGTGTGCCTATGTGTAGGGGGGGAGGTTGGAAATCTGGAAGGATGTACACTAAACTGTTAAAATCTCTGCAGGGGTTAGGATTTCAAATGGTCTAGAATTTCCAGAACTTCTTTTGTCCTCGGAGTATATTGTGAAGCACCTACTGAACTAAAAACTGTGCCAAGAGGATTGCAGGTCAAAGAAAAACTTAGTTAATTAAGAAGCAAGCCATGTCCCAGGGAACAATAGGCAGACTTGGAACAACCATATTCTGAGTATGTAAGGGACCTCTACTTCCTGCTCAGCCCTGAATCAGGCTATGATTACAGCTTCTGGTATTTACTGCTCAGGACCAATAAACCAATAGTTATTGTTATTAGCTGACATCCCAGTTGGCCCTTAACTCACAGCACCGTCATGCACAATGAAGTGGGGTCACGTGCCAGTGATGGGTTGTGGCTCAGACCAAGGAGATCCAAAGGGTTTTCTGTTTAGCATCATAGCAACAACAAAGCCTCAATGACAGGCAGGAAGGGAGGGACTGCACTGAGGTGCCTTGGCTGGCTTGAAAGGTGAGAACTCTGCCGCTGAACCACCACCGCCCCCTCCAACATTATTACCGCCTCAGAAACTCCCCAATGAAGGAATCCACTAAAGAGAAGATGAAATCCATCAGGAGGAGCCGGTAGATTTCCTGGCCAATGAGAGTTTCCCAACACTGGAAAGGAAAAAAAAAAGAAAAGGAGTCAGGGTGAAGGATAGACATTCTCATCAGCATCCGACTGACCAAGTGCTTCTGCACCCAGAAAAGATCTACTTTAGCAAAAAATGCAGCTCTGGGCTGAGTTCCTCTTCAAAGGTGTTCTACTTTTCTGCATAGCTTTTCTCCCCATTAAGGTTCATCTTCCACATATATCCAAACTTTTTCTTTCTATCTGAGCTCCCAGGAGTCTCATTTCAGCCAGGAATAATCCGTTTCTTCTGGAGAGTGGGAGGCATCGTTCATAATGTCTCTGTTCTTTTTACTGATCAGTTTTAATTAGAGATGAATTTACAGCTATTGGATTAAGGAAGTGGCCTAGAAGATTTAATAAATCAACCCGCTCATATCCACTGAAATAAAGGTACATTTTTTCAAGAATTGGCCTTCTGTTCTGGGCCATAATATTGTCTTGGTTTGTGCAAATTGGTTGGAAGTATGAATTAGTTTATGAAGTGGTGATCAGAACCTTTGCAAGCAGTCATCACTACAAGCTGATGGACCAGAAGCTTTTTTATTCAGTTGAATGAGGAGAAGGAAGTTTTGGGTTCACAACCTAACTGAATGGATGGGTGGGTGAGCTGATGGATGGTGGATGAAGAGACAGATGGCCACATGAATGGATGGACGGATGTCAGGTGGACGAATGGCTGGGTAGATGGTTGGATGGACAGATAGAAAGATAACATAGAATCTGCTTTTATCAGCCCAACTTGGAGGGCGGGCTTTGAACCTGTTTGATAGTTAAGTTGGGAAGAGAAACTAAGTATATCATATTTTGTATGATAAGTTTCCGTCTGGAAACCAGTTGTGCTATTTGGGGGCTAGGGGACAAATGGTAACAGAAGTTGAACCATAAGACAATAATGATACCCTGAGGATCCAGATGGTCAAGAACTAAAGATGACTGAGGCTGTGGAGGCCTATTTTAATGGGGACCCCATTAAAAGGAGGGCATCCTAATAAGAAGATCGGAGATTAACTCTTTCTTGAACCTACATGGGATATTGCCCCCATGAGCTTTCACATATAACAGGAAAACTCTCTGGGGTGGAGAATGAATAAACAAACAACTCAAGTAGGTGAAGTCTGGAAATTTAGGACATGACTGCAAATGTCAGAATTGATGTGAAACTGAGGAGGACCTGAAGCGCTTGCTGCAGAAGGTCAAGGACTGCAGCCTCCTATATGGATTGAAGCTCAACATCAAGAAAACAGATTCTCACCACTGAGCCAATTGGCAGCATCAGTTTGGATAGTGAAGAGATTGAGATAGTTAACAGTTTTAGTTTGCTTGGCTCCACAATCAACACTCTTGGTAACAGCAGCCAGGAAATCAAGAGACGAATTGCATTGGGAAAGTCAGCTGTGAGGGACCTCTCAAGAGTACTGAAGAGCAACGACATCAGGCTGGAGACTAATGTGCGCCTGATCCAGGCTATAGTCTTCGCAATTACGTGCTATGCATCAGAGAGTTGGACAGTGAATAGGGTTGATAGAAAGAGAATTGATGCATTTGAGCTGTGGTGCTGGAGAAGAGTATTGAATATACCAGGGACTGCTAGGAGAACAAACAGCTTTGTCCTGGAGAAGGTGAGGCTGGAATGCTCCTTGGAGTCAAGGATTCTGAAGCTTCGTCGGACATACTTTGGGCATGTTGCAAGAAGGGACTGGTCCTTGGAGAGGGACATCATGTTTGGCAGAGTGGAGGGGCGGAGAAGGAGAGGAAGACCTTTGATGAGACGGATCGATTCTGTGAGTGGAGTGGTGGGAATGAGTGTGTTTGAGATGGCTAGGTTGGCACAGGATAGAAGAGCCTTTAGAACTCTTGTACACCGGGTTGCTATGAGTCACAAGCGACTTGATGGCACATAACAACAACAACAGAGTGGTGAAGCCTAGAGCATTCACACAGAAAATGGAGCATCACCCATCAAACTGGATCCTGCCCCAAACTCGAAAGCTGGCTGGCTGCATTAGTATTAAAATAGCTATCATCTTTCGTGATTGTGTACTGTACTAAGAACTGACCCTCTGGCAGATTTTCAGAAGCCATCACAGAGCAGCTGGTGAATGTGAACCATGTACCTTCAGGATTTAGCCAGGGTTAGCGAACATGAGCTGTGGGCTGGAAGTCTCTTGTCTAGAGTCAACCAGGACCTGGTGAGCCTTGCATTTAAAAGGCAGTTGGGCCCAAGGGCCTGCATCCCTCAGGCCTGCTGTTAATTGTGTTTGGGATGAACGTTCTCCCAAGTGGTACAGCACTGGTCTATCAATTTGCCGTACTGAGGTAACTTAGGGTTGCTGTGATGCTGAACGGTGTGTAAAATGCCATAATGGTCACCCACTGTGGACAGTGTTTGGTGGAACTCCCAGATTGAGACAGGCTTGGAAGCAGGAAAAGGCATCCGCTTCCTAAACCACATGCTTCTGGAAACGCTATGAATGTAGAGAAACGATGATAGTTAGAGAACAGGAGTCAGGTCTTTTTTTCATAGGGTCACAAGAAGTCATGCTCGACTCTTAACAACACTTAAGAACAACCACCTGCAGGACTTCAGTGCAGCCTCTTACCACGAGGCTGTTGAGTGCCTGCCATATGCCAGTATGGCTTATAACCATTTTACAGAAGTGAAAACTGAAGCTTGGAGACATTAGATAGCTCTGTAAAGGAACAGTTAGTCTTTGAATAAAGTCTGTCTCTAGAGCCTGGGCTTTTTAAAAAAAAATACTTTATTCTGTTTATTTTATTTTGTTGTTGTGTACCATCGAATCAGATCTGACTGGCACAGGAAGCCCTCCTTCCTTCTTGCTGCCTTCCAAACTTCCTTCTCTTCCCACAAGGGGTTCAATGCCAAACAGGAAAGAGGACAGCTCTTGAGCAAGCCACTTCCTCTCTGGCACCAAAAGGTAAGAAACCAGATGTAAGGCTGAACAGAATGCAAGCTCACTCACCTTCTCCCCAGACAGGGCCACGACATTGATCCAATAATAGCACAAAATTCCAATGATGGATATTTTCAGAAAGATGTTTCTAAACAACAGAAGAGGGGGAAACATCCAAACATCACTGTCACCATCCTCGTAGCGGTTATTAGCACTGTTTGCCAATATTTCCTTTTGATCCCATGGTAGTAAGACAAGTTTTCCCCACCTGTTGTTGGATAAGCCATGTCCAGCCTAATTGAAAACCACCTCTTAATATGATAACAGCCCTAGTAGTACAACCATCAATATGGTCTTGTAAACCATCAATGGAGACAAAGTCACCCTAGGACTTCAGGAATAAGGCATACTCAACTCCACCATCAACACCCAAAGCCCTAGTCCCTGTGCATGAAGTGTGAGAAAGGATAGGGTCACTTCACCTATTTGTAACCAAGCAACCAGCTTTAAACTTTACTCTGAGGGAGCTCTGGTGGCCTAGTGGCAAGAAGCTGCACTGCAATTCCAGAGGTGTGTGGTTCAAATCCACCAGATGCTTTGCTGGAGAAGGAGTGGCAATCTCCTCCTTTACCAGTCAGATCTGATTTGACGGTACACACACACAAAAAAAATAATAAAATTAAACAACAACAACAAACTTTACTCTGAGGCAAAGATGAGAATGTAAAGGCTCAGGGAAACTAGACTAATGGAAATGGAACAACCAGAATGGAAATAGTGAGAATGGTCACACATTGTGAAGAATACAGTTAATGTCACTAAACAACTTGTGTAGACATTGTTGAATGAGAATTTTAACTGTTGCATGAGCCTTCACCAAAAATACAAGAAAAAAAATTTTTTTAAAAAAAGTAGCCCTATGCAGCAAAGTTCTTTTTTAGCAAACATGCAGTTAAAAGGAGTTGTAGTCAAAACAGAATGAAAAGCCACTGGTTTTGGTACTGACATTGGTATAAACATCACCACTGCCAAGAACTGGCCAGGAAGAAGCTCACTCACCTATATTATGATATCATGATTTATTTTATCATGAGGATAAAATGTGGTGGTTGTTTATTGTTATGTTTGTTGAGTCAAAACTGACTCATAGTTGACCCTCCAGCATGTTTTCAAAGCTATAAATCACGTTGGAGAAGATTGTTCACCATTTTCCCATGGGGAAGCTGGTGGATTTGAACCACTTGCCTTTTGGTTGGTCGTACAACCCTGGGGCTGCTTCTAACACATACGGCATCTTTGTGAGAATCACAAAAAAGGAACCTCCTCCCAGCCAGTGAATTGCCAAAATACACTCCTTCTCACACACATACACCTACCTGTTTGAGTGTCATCTGAGTTTAAAATATACTCCTTCCTCCCACCTGCTGCAGCGTGTACCAGGGCTTACAGTTTGACTAATGGGAACACTGGGATAGATTTCAGTCCCAATACAACTTCTCAGCCAGTAATTTTTGTGCAGAAAGCTACTTGAACATCTGCGCAGCTCATTCCTAGAGCCAGGCCGGCAGCAATCGGGCAAAGTAAGCTATTACTTTGAACAAAAGGCAGAGATCTTCAATAGCTATAGATTCTGAGGTCTGTTCAGACTGTACAGCGAGGGCTCTTGATCCAAACTCCACCAACACACTTTGCTCTTGAAACTCAAAGCAGAGAATATTGATACGAAGCACAATACATTCTAGCTCCTACCCACTTTGTAGAAAAGCCCTGGGTATTTGGTGACACAGTCAACCTACCGGATCAGGAGGCTGTAGACTTGGTGCCGTGGGATCTCGTACTTTTCCACCAGCCTGAACATGGAATAGATGCGAGGTACAAAGAGATTGATGCAGGACACAACGAATGGTAGTAACAGCACTGCTCCAGGGTCCCTGTGACTTCTCAGGAACTGCAGGGCACAAAACGGGAGAATCAAGATATCAGCTGCGAACTGAGACCATGTCTGCCTACTCAAAAGAGTGCCCCCCACCCATGGCGGAATCCTATAAGACACTTGTCTGGGGTTAACTATTGTTGCTGCTACTAGGTACTATTGAATTGTCTCCAACTCATAATGACCCTTAGTACAACAGAAAGATGCGCTGCCCAATCCTGAATCCCCTTATTACTGTCCCTGAACTTGAACCCTCTGTGGCCAACTCTGTGTCATTCGTCTCATCGCATGTCGCCCTCATCTTTATTTTATTGTTTTATTTAAATTTATTATTAATTTCAGTAAAAATTTACAGAGACTTTGGATTTCCATTCATTCATTGTTGCACTTTTCTCCCCTCCCAACCCTCCCCCCTAGTACACCACCCTCTTGGAAAAGTAAAAGACAAATTCTTTCATTTGTTTTACAAACCCTCCCCCAGGTCCATTCCACCATATAGCCTTCGCTCTGGACCCTCGTCATGACAAAAATACCTAATCACATATCCCTTTTAAACAGTTTTCTCCCTCATCTGTTTCAATGTAGTATACATTATTGAATCAGTCTTTCTCAGTCTCCCCCCAACCCCAAGGTCAGTCCTGTTTTACAACAGTGGCACCATGCAGTATTTGTCCTTTTGTGACTGAGATACTTCATTCATCATAATGTCTTCCAGAGTCACGCATTTTGAATAATATTGCTTGAGTTCTTTGTTTTTCAATGCAGCATAGTATTCCATTGTGTGAATACACCATGGTTTCTCTATCCATTCATTTGTTGATGGGCACTTAGGTTGTTTCCAACTCCTTGCTATTGTGAACAAAGCTGCGATAAACATGGATGTGCATATATCTGCTTGGGTGGCAGTTATAGTCTCTTTGGGGTATATTCCCAGTAGTGGAATTGCTGGGCCAAGTGGTATTTCTATTTGCAACTTTTTGAGAAAGCATCATACCGCCTTCCACAGTGGTTGCACCATTTTACACGCCCACCAACAGTGAATAAGGGTTGCAGTTTCTCCATAACCTCACCAGCATTTGTTGCTTACTGTTCTGTTAAATTTTGCTATTCTTTGTGGGGTGAGATGATATCTCATAGTTGTTTTCCTCTTCTTTATTTTAAAATAATTTTAAAATGTATTCATTGTTGTACAGTTTCTCCCGCTTCATTTCCCCTCCCCTCAATGCATCTCTTGTTCCAGACTATTCTCCTACATATATTTCTTTCAAACAGTTCTTCCCCTCATCTGTTCCAATGCAATATTCATTATCTATCCACCCCTTCCCCACTTCCTCTCCAATCCCGCCAGGTCTGTCCTATTTCAGAACAGCAGTGCTATGCATTATTTATTTATCCTTTTATGACCAAGTTATTTCACTTAGCATAATGTCCTCAAGGCTCCCTCATGTTGTGTAATGTTTTATTATTTCATTACTTTTCAATGCTGCGTACTATTCCATTGTGTGGAGGAGGTACCATAGTGTTTCTATCCATTTGTTTATTGATGGGCACGTGGGTTGCTTCCATCTCTTTGATATTGCTTTGCTATTGTGAACAATGCAGCAATAAACATGGATGTGCATACATCTGTTTGAGTTGTGGCTCTAGTTTCTTTATATATGTCTTTCTCTTTTTCACTAGTGCTCTGCCCAACCAGTCTGAGGTCCTTCTCCAGGGACTGGGCCTCCTGAGTGACATTCTCAAAGTCTGTAAGACAAACTCTCACTATCCTTGCATCTAAAGTGCTTCTTCCACAATGGACTTGTTTGTTCTTTGGGCAGTTCATGAGATATTCAATACTCTTCACTGACATCACAATTCAGAGGCATCCTTTGCTCCTTGATCTTCCTTTTGCTTTGGTTTATTCTCTATCTCCTCTCTTCCTTACCAGCTCTAATAATTTCAAGTGGTTGTGAAGTAAATCTTTAAGGTGAAGAGCTCAGAAGGGTTTTTATTCCTGAAGCTACTTTATCATACTTTTTAACTGAAGTCCCTAAACACTGTGACTTAACATCTCCTGCCAAGGTATAACAGACTATAGTAATAGTAAACCTCTAGGTTTGTATAATCTCACTCCCATTTTTTTCCTGGCTGGCTTCTTATTCCTTTATTCATTCATTTTGTTGAGCACATACTATTTCCTGGGTTGTCTTATACTGGGTTCTCTTGAAAAACCAAACCAATTGCGAGAGAGAAAAAGATTTATTTCAAAGAAATGGTTCGTGGATTTGTAGAGGCTGCCAGGTGCCAAGTCTGTGGGTCAGTCCTCAGGGCAAAGGGCATCTGGGGAAGTGGACTAATCCAAGGTCAGTGAGCAAGGCTTTGGTCAGCAGCCTGTGATAGACTATGCCATTAGCGCTCCCCAAGATTGCTGACTTAAGAAGCTGACAAGCCCAAGGTAGGCAAGCTGCTGGTTCAAGTCCAGTGGTGATATGCCAGGTGTGGGATCGGGCCAAAAGTCCTTCAGCTTTGCCAGTGAGTCCACACACATATTCAGCGCAGGCCACATTCCTGAGACTTCTCCCTCATCATATCAGCCTGATCAGACCATCATACGTAGCTGCCTCTAATGCAACCTCATTAACATCATCCAACTCAATTACTCATTGCTGTCTAGTTGGAACTGACTCAGCTGACCCTCCAGTGTGTTTTTGTTTTCTTAATGAAAGTTTTTGCTGTACAGAGGTAACTCGTGGTTGCTGTGATACTGTGACACTGATGTGTCAAATGTGATAATGGTTATCCACGGTGGACAGTGTTTGGTGGAGTTCCCAGATTAAAACAGGCTTGGAGACAGGAGTGGCATCCACTTGTGAAACAGCTTGCCTCCGGAAACTCTATGAACTTAGAGAAATGATGAAAGCTATATAGGTGTTCATGTCTTTCGTTCACAAGGTCGCTATGAGTCGTCTATGATTCGACAGCACTTAACAACAACAACAACAGAAGTTTACAGAGAAGTTGGATTTTTTTCATTCATTCATTGTTGCACATTTTCCTCTATACCTTCCCAGTTCACTTTTTTAAAAAATAATTTTTTAGTGTGATTTTAAGAAAAGTTTACAGAAAACTTGGATTTCCATTTATTCCTTGTTGCACATTTTCCTTCCTACACCCCACCTCCAGTTTGCTTTTCTTTAAAAAAAAAATCATTCACTGTTACACAGTTTCCTCCCTCGTCCACTCCACCCCCCTCCCATCCACTTTTCTAAGCACAGCTTACCCAGGTCACTTAAAAAATTCCTTCTTTGTTTCATAATTTCCTCCCTTTATCCCACCCTCCCCCCTAGTCCACTTTGCTATGCATCTCTTATTCTGGACTGTTATCATACAAATAATACCTAATCATATATTCCTGTTAAACAATTCTTTCCTTCATCTGTTCCAATAGAGTGCACATTATTTACCCCTTCTTTTTTCAGTCTTCCCCCAACCTGTATGTCAGTATTATTTCATAAAAGTGGTGTTATACAGTATTTGTCCTTTTGTGACTGAGATATTTCACTCAGTATGTCCTCCAGGGTCATCCATGTTGTATAATATTCCAGTGCCGTTTAGGATGCTTTAAATCACCCAGGAGGAGACTGACCATCTTTCTCCTGGGCTGTCTCCGGTGGATTTCAACCTTGAGAGAGGTGACATCTATGGGTCAGCAGCACAGCTCTCAGCAGCCTGTGCTACCATAGTTCACCACACTCATACTCATCACTTTTGAGTCAGAGCTGACTCATGGCTGACCCTCCAGAGGGTTTCCAGAGGCTGCAGTTCACCAGTTCACACAAGAGGAGTGAGAGACAGCTGGTGGGTTCGAACCACTTGCCTTTGACTTGGCAGCATCACTCATTATCCCAGAGACACCTCAGAAGAAAGGCCTGGTAATCCAATCCCGAAAGACCACAGCCACTGAAAACCCGACGGGATCCCACACACACACACACACACGGAATCACTGAGAGTCTGAATTGACTTGATGACAACTGACTTGGAATTTGGCCAGAAGTCATTAAATCAAGTGACATAATTAGCCTGACCTGCATTGCAATTCTACAGGGAGGTGAACTATGGACACAATTAGTTCCATTTCAAAGGGGGGAAGGTAGAAACCTACAGAAAAAAAATAATACGACTTTGCTCAGGACACCCAGCTCATAAGTTTCAGTGCCCAAAATATGACATGTACACAAACGCCGTGCTTCCTTCAGCCACAGAGAGAAATGAAGTTCTACTACATTCCACAATGTGGATGAATCCTGAAAACATCATTGTGAACAGAACAAGTCGGGAGGAAAAGGACAAATATTCACTTACATGGAACAAACACTCATATAGAAACCAAAGATAATATAGAAACTAATAATATAGAAAGATAATATAGAAACTAATAATATTTGTGCTTGCAGAGGGTGGGAGAGAGGGAGAAATGTGGAGTTTTCACGTAGAGGAAGTCACTGAGTTTCTGTTAACGGTGATGGAATGGTTTGGAAAAGGACAGCACTAACAGTTACATGGAGTACTGAGAAGTAACTATGTCAGTCTAGAGACTAAGGTGTGCCTGATCCAGGCCATGGCCTTTGTACTTACTTACTATGCATCAGAGAGCTGGATAATAACAAAGGATGACAGGATAAGAATTGTTGTCTTTGAGTTGTGGTGCTGGAGAAGAGTCCTGAACATACCATGAATCACCAAGAAAACAAACAGATCTGTCTTAGGCTGAAACCAAGTGAGGGTAAAATTAAGTTTCTTCTTGGAGGCAAGGATTTTGAAGCTCCATCTCATTCTTTGGGCACATGGCCAGGAGGGACCTGTTCTTGGAGACAAATCTCATGGCTGGAAAGGTGGAGGGACAGCACAGGAAAGAAAGACTCCAAATTAGATGGATTGATACAATAACTGGGGTAATGGGGGTAGGTAGGTGTTTTGGAGTCAGTGAGTCTGTCTCAGGACAGGGCAGGCTTCAGAGGTGTTGTACACAGGGTAACTATGAGTCACAGGCGACTCAATGGCACATAACATCAACAACAATGGTTGCACATTACAACAATAATTACAAACAACAACAATGGTTACACAACACAGAAAAGAGAATGATTGTTGCTGAATTGTTGTTTTGTACCATTGAGTTGAAAGTGACCCATAGTTGACTCTCCACTGCATTTTCAGGGCTGTTAATAGCATGGGAAGAGAGTGCCCATCTTTCTCTCTCAGAGCACCTGGTATATTCAAATCACACACCTTTGCACTGGCAGCACAATTCCTTACCATTAAGCCACCAGAGCTCCCTTAGACCAGTGTGAATTGATAAATGTTTTGTTAATGTATGAGCAAGAGCCTGTGATGACGAAGGAAGAAATTCAAGCTGCCCTGAAAGAATTGGCAAAAAACAAGGCCTCGGGAATTGACGGCATACCAATTGACATATTTCAACAAAGAGACGCTGCCCTGGATGTGCTCACCAAGTTGCACCAAGAAATTTGGAGGACAATCACCTCACCAACTAATTGGAAGAGATCTATATTTGTTCCCATTCCAAAGAAAGGTGACCCAACAGAATGTGAAAATTATTGAACAATATCATAAATATCACACGCAAGCAAGATTCTGCTAAAAATTATCCAAAAATGACTAGAACAGCACATCAACAGAGAACCACCAGATGTGCAGGTTGCATTTTGAAAAGGCCATTATACTAGAGATATTATAGTTAATGTTAGATGGATCTTGGGTGAAATCAGAGAATACCAGAGGAATGTTTATCTGTGTTTCATTGACTATGCAAAGGCATTTGACTGTGTGGATCACAACAAACTATGGCTGACTCTGAGAAGAATAGGAATCCCAGAACACTTGATTGTGCTTATGTGAAACCTATATTTGGACCATGAGGCAGACATCAGAACAGAGCGAGGAAACACTGCATGGTTCAAAATTGGGAAGGGCGTATGCCAGGGACGTGTCCTATCTCCGTATCTTTTCAATCTATATGCAGAACAGATCATCTGGAAGGCTGGGCTTTGTGAGGAGTGTGACATCAGGATTGGAGGAAGACATCATCAACAACGTGCTTTATGCAGATGACACAATTTTGCTTGCCAAAACTGAGGAGAACCTGAGAGATTCATATGCTTCAGAAGGTCAAGGACTGCAGCCTTAAATATGGACTGAAGCTCAATATTAAGAAAAATTACCAATGGGCCAAATGGCAGCATTATGATAGAAGGAGAAGAGACTGTGATTGTTAACAGCTTCAGCTTGTTTGGCTCCACAATCATCACTCTTGGTACCAGCAACCAGGAAATAAAAAGACAAATTGCACTGGGAAAGTCTGTTGTCAGGGGTCTCTCCAGAGGACTGAAAAGCAACAACATCAGTCTAGAGACTAAGGTGCACATGATGCAGGCCATGGTCTTTGAAATTACTTTCTAGGTGTCAGAAGGCTGGATAATGACGAGGGAAGATAGAAGGAAAATTGATGCCTTTGAGCTGTGGTGCTGAAGAAAAGTATTGAATATACCACAGACTGCCAGGAGCACAAACAGATTCATTCTGAAGAGAGTTAAACCAGGCTGCTCTTTGGATGCAAGAATTCTGAGGCTTCATCTGACATATTTTGGGAGTGTTGCAAAGAGGGAGCAGTCCTTGGAGAGGGACATCATGCTTGGAAAGGTGGAGGGACAGAGCAAGAGAGGAAAGACTCTCAATGAGATGAACTGATTCAGTGACGGGGGTAATGAAGGTGGGTGTGCCAGAGACAGTAAGATTGACACTGGATCAAGCCTATTTCAGGGCTATTGTACATAGGGTTGCAATGAGTCACAAGTGATCTGATAGCATATAACAACACCAACAGCATGTATATTTTCACTGTAATAAAATGGAAAGCTTAACATGTAGCCTTTCTTCATTATCCACAATGCCAGGCACCAAGTCGACCCTCCAAGGCATCTCTATTCCAATTTACATATTCAAGAAACCTAAAACTGTCAATCCCATTTCATGTAAAAGGAATCCAGAACTCAGAAAGAGGAAATAACTTGCTCAAACCCACCAAATACACCATTTATTGAGCAGCTAGATTATGGATGAGACCTTAAGGATATAATCTCAAAAAACTCTCAAACTCATTGCCATCAAGTCAACACTGAGTCCTAGCTGACTCTCTGGGTTTTCTGAGGCTGCAAATCACACATGAGGAAATGACTCATTTTTCTCCCTTCGAGCTGCTGGTGCATTTGAAGCATCACTGTTAGGTTGGCAGTGCAACTTTCTACAGACAATGTCACCAGAGCTTCGTAAGGATGTGACAGAGATAATAACAGAGGAAGAACAACTAGAACTTGATCCCAGGTCTGGGTGAGAGTTCCCACTCTCCCTGCTCCTCTGGTACTACTGCCTGGTGGGCACACACATGGGTGATCTGGACAGAACACAGGTTCAGCGAAGGTGCCTACATTCTGCATTTGTAACAAGCTTCCAGGACACATCAGCGCTGCTGGGCATGGACCACTGCTTAGCAGGGGTCTGGGCCCCAGTGTGCCCCTCCAGCCTCCCGTCTCTTCTCTTGATCCCCTGTGCTTGGACTCTGGTGCTGTCGCCTCTGTGGAGTTACCTCTGAGTTGAACTCAGCCAGGTAGTACACAGCTACACAGCAAGCAACAGCCACGCCGGTAGAGACAAACCAAGCCGCTGCATGAGTTGATAACCGGGTCAGCCGCTGATTCAGTGTAGACTTGGTGTTCTTCTGCAGGATTTCGGAAAGATTCTCCTGCAAACACAAAGAAGTGAATTCCCCAAGAGTTGCTTTTCCACAGTCAGCCAAGACTCCCAAGATCCACCTCAGATACCCCAGGAAAGAGAAAAGGGGAAGTCGGTGATGGGTATGGATCATGAGAGACCCTGGAGAGAATTTCAAATGGTGCCAAGACCCCCCCACCCCCCGCTCTTAGCACATTGAGAGCTTCTACCACCTTAGAGGGATAGGTAGAATTAATTACTGGGGCCACGTTCTCTGGGAAGACACATTACGAGAGTTCTTCTTTAGAGCAAGGTTAAGTAAGAAGGAAGGTTATCTATAATAAGGAAGAAGTTAACATCTTTAATTCTCTTTTCCAAGCTCTTTGTTTAGAATTTTTTCTTGCTTTTTCCTTAATGATTTTTTTTCATTCCCTATAAGCCAGACCTTCTCTGTTTTGGTTCAGCTAGTTCACTGGGAGCAAGGGAGCTGTCTTCCATGCATCATAGGATGTTTAACAGTCTCCTTGGCCTCTGCTCACTGGAGGCTGGCAGCACTTTCAGTGTGACAACCAAGAAAGTCTATACACATTGCCCAATGTTTATCATTACCACCAGGTGAAACCCAGTGTTTGGTTTTTTTGGCCAAACTCATAGGAAAGAAAGCATGATTCCTTCTTATTTTGAGAAAAGTCAAGGACATCCTGGAGGAGGGAGGAGACAGACTGTGGGGCAGGCGGGTTGAGAAGGCTTACTCTTATCTCAGTGCTGAAGTTCTTCTGTTTCTGCTGCACCGTTTTCTCGTGAGTCATGGTGAAGTCCCAGCAAAAGACAAGCTTAGCGATCCCTTTGGTGTAAAGGTGGGGGTTAATGAAGTTGTTCCGGAAGTACTTGGCCATGCTAGGGAAGGCAGAGACCCAATATCCAAAGGTTAGTACAATAGGGGCTGTAACGGGAAGGTAATTTCATTCAACCAAACAAAGAAAACCCTGTCATTAAAAGAGAAAGGCAGCATAGAAAAACAAGGAACTCATGCAATATTATTCAAAATGGGTGACCCTGGAGGACATTATGCTGAGTGAAATATCTCAGTCACAAAAGGACAAATACTACATAGTGCCACTGTTGTAAAAGAGGACTGACATAGGGGTTGGGGAGAGACTGAGAAAGATGGGTTCAATAATGTATACTGCATTGAAACAGATGAGGGAGAAAACTGTTTAAAAGGTATATGTGATTAGGTGTTATTGTCATGACACGAGTCCAGAATGAAGGCTGCACAGTGGAGTGGACTTGGGAGGAGGGATTGTATAACAATGAAAGAATTTTTCTTTTACTTTTCAAAGAGAAGAGTGAACTGGAAGGGAGGGGTGGGCAGGGAGAAAAGTGCAAAAAGAATAAAAATATCAAGACAGAAAGAAAAAAGAAGAGAGAAAAAGGCAGCATTGAAGAGCTACTTCCAAGCTCCGTGCTCGCTAAGCATGACAATGACATGGCTTGTTTGGAGGTGTAGCTTTGCCAACCCAGGGATCTTTGCGATACAAACTATTCTGAGCCTCGGTTTCCCCATTTGTGTAATGGGGAAAAGGAGTCTCTGGATGGTGTAAATGGAGTAAAACGCTCAGCTTCTAACCAAAGATCACACCAAAGGTTGCTTCTAATAAGTGCCTTGGAAGAAAGATTAGGCATTGTGCCAAAAAAAAATCAGCCACTGGAAGTTGAAGGGAAAACTAAGTCTAAAGAGAGGTTCATAGGAAACTGAGCTGTTGAGAAGTGGAGATGAATCATTTCTTAATATGTTATTTTATCAATAGAAGTTCATTTTGTACCACTTTACATATTTTCCATGTTCATGCTTCATTCTTAATTGCATTTAAATTACAAAAGTATCCCGAAAAAAAATCAGCCACTGAAAAGCGTATAGAACACAGCTTTCATATTTTTCTTATTGTTTACTGTTGAGTCAGATTCAACCGGCACAGGAGGAGATTGCCCTTCCTTTTCCAGCAGAACATCTGGTAGATTTGAACCACACACCTTTGGCATGGCAGCACAACACAGCTCCATTTGGACACACATCCATAAGCTAGAGTTGATTTATGGCAACTGGTAGCTGGTTATAATGGGGATGTTAACAGTCCCTACCACACAGAATTATTATGAGAAACAATGGATAATACATGGTTATGATTTGAATTGTTTTCCCTAAAGTTATATGTTAAAGTCCTAACTTGTGACTGAACCTGTATCTGACCTTCTTTGGAGATATCGGGCCTTTGATGGTGTAATCACTGAAATGAACCAGGTCTTACCTAGGTCAACTAATCTCAATTCATTCTCATTGAATAGGAACCAAATCAGAGCTGATACTCCAGCAGGCTTTTAAAGACTGTAAATTACACGGGAGGCACATCAACAAGAACAAAGGTGAATAACTCAGTCACAAAATAGGCACAGAGAAGGAAAAGACCCTTCACCAAAGAAGACATTCAGATGTCAAAGAAACACATGAAGAAATGTTTAAAATTTCTAGATATCAGAGAGATGAAAATCAAAACAACTGTGAGATATCATCTCACCCCAGCAACGATAGCAAACAAAGTTCAACAGGGCAGCAAACAACAAATGCTGGTGAGATTGTGGAGAGAATGGAACTCTAACTCATTGCTGCTGGGAGTGTAATATGGTGTAACCATTGTGGCACTTTGTAAAAACTTGGAAATAGTCATACCATTTGACCAGTAGAAATACCAGCCATTCCACTACTGGGAATATACCTTAAGGTAATCAGAGTAACCACGCAAATAGATGCTTGCACTCTTATGCTTATTGCTGTGCTATTCACAATAGTAAAGAGATGGAAGCAACCCAATTTCCGATCAACAAATGAATGGATAGAAAAAACTATGGTATATTCACACAATGGAATATTACACAGCACTGAAAAACCATGAACTCATTAAACATTACATAACATGGGGGAGCCAGGAGGACATTGCACTAAGTGTAATATCTCAGTCACAAAAGGACAAATAATGGCATAACACTGTTAGTGTAAAATATGACAGATTGGGGAGGGGGAGCTGGGGAGAGAATGGGAAAAGAGTGGATAGATAATAAACACTGCATTAGAACAGATAAGGGGAAGAAGTGTCCAAAAGGCATATATGATTGGGCATTGCATGTATGACAACAATCTGAAACAACATCTGGTGCATTGTTGGGTGGGGTGGGGAGGAGGAAGAAAATGTGAAACAATGAACAACAACAACAAAAAAGTAAAAAAAAAAATCATGAGAAGAGATTGCCCATTTTTCTCTGAAGGAGCAGTTGGTGGATTTGAACCTCTGCTTTTTGGCAGTGCAATTCCTTACCCACTAAGGTACCAGAGCTCCCTCTTGCTGGGGTAGAGAAGTCCTAATATCGTGTGACTTCTATATGTTGTTGTTGTTGTGTACTGTCAGGTTGGAACCAACCTACAGCTGATCCTCAAGTGAGATTCAGGGGAGATAAACCACATGGGAGGAGACTGCCTTTCTTCCACAGAGAAGGTGGTGGATTTGAACCACATTTGACTTGGCAGTGTAATTCCTTACCATTAAGCCACAATTGGCTATGACCAGTGACATTTGAAAGAGGAGGACAGACAGAGAGACTGAGACACTGGGGGAAGACAGATGCCGTATAACTATGGAGGCAGAGGCAACTATCAGCCGCAGCAGATGAACATCAAGGAGTTCCAGAAGCCACCAAAAAGCAGGATAAGCATGGGACACTCCCCTCTCAAAGTCCCCAGGAGGGAGGACACTCGTTTGGTTACTGCAGCAGTAGAAAATGAACACACTGTAAAGCTCTCAGAATAGTAAACAACAGCAAAGCTGTTAATATCACTGGGACTAGGGGCAGGACTCTGCAAAATGAACCATAGAAAGCAACATGGAGCTTGGCGTACAGTTAACGCTGCAGGAAAGGAAAGATGCCTTTCCAAAATTTGCAACCACGGAGTCACAGCAGTTAGGAAATAGCTCCTGGTTTCTGGTATGATAGAACAAAATGAATTCTCATTTTTCGTGTGAGTTTCTGTGATGGCAGGAAGACCACATATTTCTCATATATGCATTTTACATCCATACCTCCTCTTTCACAGCTGTCCATCTACCAGCTGGATCACTGAAGTCTTCTTTTCAGGCTGACTCATCTCCAACATACTTTGGACATGTTGTAAGGAGGGACCAGTCCTTGGAGAGGGACATCATGCTTGAGAGGGTGGAGGGACGGTGCAAGAGGGGAAGACCCACTATGAGGTGGATTGATTCAGTGACTGGGGTAATCGGGATGGGCGTGTCAGAGACAGTGCAATGGGCACAGGACAGAGCAGAGTTTAGGGCTGTTGTACATAGGGTCGCTAGGAGTCACAAGCGACTTGACGGCACATAACAACAACAACAACAACAACAACATTTCTTTTAAGGGAGCTTTAAGGGCCTTAGGGAGTGCTGGGGGCTTAGTGGTAAAGAATTGTGTTGCCAATGCAAAGGCACACAGTTCAAATCTACCAGCTGCTCCGGGGGAGAAAGATGGGCAATTTTCTATGGGACTTGCCACCTTTGAAAACCCACTGGAGGATTGGCTATGGTTTGGTTCTGACTCATAACAATAACCACCACAACAACTGGTGGTCTACTGAGTAAGGAGCTGAGCAGCCAACCCAAGTGTAGGCAGTTCAAATTCGCCAGCAGCAACTTGGGAGAAAGATGGATAATCTCCTTTTGTTTGATTTATAGCCTCTGAAAGCCCACTGGAGGGTCAGTTATGGGTCGGTTCTGATTCAACAGCAATGATTTGGTTTTTTGAAAAAGAAATACATAAAAACTTCTCTTCCACCCTGAAACCTACAGCGTCCCTTTCCAGCAGGAAGTAGCTAAGAGAATACGCCATCCCCTTTTCCTTATGAATCAGGGTGAAGTCTCTCTCAGGGAGGAGTGATAGGGAATGGCAAAGGACACACCGACAAAGGAGATTAATCAGAACTGGCTTTGACAAGCACTGTGGCAACTGGACAATTAAAACAGACATTCGGGGTGGGGGGGGAAGAAGAACAAACTGGGGAGGAGGGTAGAGAAAACAGTGCAACAATGAATGAATGAAAACCCCAAATCTCTGTAAACGTTCATTAAACTAATAAAATTTTTAAAAAACCAACAAAAATACTTCTCTTCCTCTGTCTGAACCCTTACTTCATGTTGCAGAACAAGAAAGAACCATGCAGAAGTAGAAAGCTGAAATTACAGTGGATTGGTTTCCTGGGTCATTTTTGAGCCACTTTCTTGAGTCTTGTCTGAATTCACCAAGAGTGACACGCTGCCCCTCTGTACCTGAACAGCAAGCTGAAGAAGCAGACGACCAGGCACGCTCCAACTGTGAAGATGTAGGCCAGCTGCATGTTGTAGGTCACCCCACTGCTCCCGTGCTGGATGGTAGTATTGGTGTAAAAGCCATAGTACATCACTGTGTCCTGGAAATAGCCCTGGAGGAGACAATAAAGCTCAGGTCAGGAGGACCTCCTGAGACAAAGATGAGCGAGTGTGGTCTGTAGACTTACTCAGTTCTGCTTGTCAGCCAGTTTAGTTCATTTCTCTTGACAGAGAATGAATGCTCAAGGCCACTAAGAACCTAAACCTTTTGTCACTATGGGCTCCTTTCCAAGCACTGCTGGGTGATTGGAAAGGAATTCTCAACCACCACAGTTTTACAGGCTACTATCGCCTGAATTTAGTGACCAACTAAATTGTATCCAGGTGGGACAATCAGCCATTAAGTGCCTCTGTCACCTGGGTGATCTGTTGGAGTAGTCTGTAGGGAATTGTGCTTCTAATTCAAGAGGTAACATCTCTCCAGTGGTTCAAATCTACAAGCCATGTAGGAGAAAGATGGGCAGTCTCCTCTCCAGAGATTTACAGCTTCTGAAAACCTGTTGGAGGATCAGCTCCAACTCGATGGAAATGAAAGTTTTTTTGTTTGGGTTTGTTTGTTGGTTGGTTTTTTTTTTTTTCACATCAGGCAATTGGTATATTTCTTCAGTTAATCTGTTGAGCTATGCAGTCATTATAGTATCTGTTTCTCGACATTAGCGGAAAACATTCATTCCATGCATGTACTTTTGCATAGGCATTACCAAAACTACTGTTAATTCCCAAAAGTATTTTTAAAAACTTTTTGTAAAATTTTTTTAAAAATTTTGTGTGCCTCAGTTGAGAGTATGGTGGTTGATGTTGGGGTTTTTTTAAAGTCACCTGTTAAAGATCTCTGATCATAGGGCTTTCAAAGGCTCTTGTTTCAGAAGTGGATGGCCAATACTTCCTCCTAATATGTCTTATTCTAGGAGCTCTGTTGCAACCTCTTCACCATCAGTGACCCTTCTGGTACCTGAGACATTGATGGCAAAGATTCCAGAGCACCCTACAAACTATACCGTGTACAGCAGACTGACTGACAAATGCTGTACTAATAGGAGCAAATAATAAATCTCAAGCCTATACACATCAAGGATATAAAGGAATTCTTGTTGTTGTTACATACCATCAAGTTAGAACCAAACCAAAGCTGACCTTTCAGTGGGTTTTCAGAGGCACTTTATCACACAGGGGGAGATTTGAAATGTGTGCCTTTGAGATTACAGAGCCACCAGAGCTCCTTGTAAAGAATTGGCAACATGTGATTCATTCCTCAATAAGGAAACTAATAGATAAGTGTTGTACCTCTAAAATCAAACTGTAAAGACAACTAAGCACCAAGCACACATATATCATGGCCCAGGACACTCTTCTTAGACCACAGTTGAGGCCTATGGTGGTACAGCAGGATGGAGGGCTGGACGGGGGTGTTGGCATCAGACAGCAGAGCAGCTAGATATTTAGTGCTCGTTTTTAGCATAGGCCCGAGGTCCACTAGGCCTGAGAGCCCAAACAACAACAAACCAACAGTCTCTAGTAATGCAAGATTCTGACCAATTGAAAGACTGATAGTTTGAATCCACTCAGAGGTACCACAGAAAGTGGATGCATGGATAATCTGCTTCTGTAAAGATTGTTGTTGTTGTTAAGTGCCGTCGAGTCGCAGGCGACTCTTAACGACCCTATGAAGGAGAGTCCTCGACGCTTGGGTGCCTTTCATCCTCTCTCCAGGTTCATAGGGTTTCCGGAGGCAAGCTATTATGGAAGTGGATGCCACTCTTCCTTCCACGCTTGTTTTAATCGGGGAGCTCCACCCCACTCTCTGTCCACATTGGGTAGCTAACCATTAATGCATTTGACAGATCAGTGTCACAGTGTCCAGCCTCACAGCAACCACAAGTTATCACTGTACAGCAATTTGTACACCAGGGCTATTACGACCTAAAGGAATGTCTAAACAAAAACAATGAAAGACAGGCCCAAGGGCTGCAGATTAAAAGTCACCCACCTTCTGTAAAGATTACAGTCAGGAAAACATCATGGAATCAGAAAGTACTCTGTACTTTCTGTACTTAGGCTTTTAGTTATTTTAGTGGTTATCTAGTAAGTATTGTTGTTGTTGTTGTTATGTACCGTTGAGTCGCTTGCCACTCATAGCGACCCTATGTACAACAGCCTTAAACTCTGTTCTGTCCTGTACCAATCTCACTGTCTCTGACACACTCATTCCGATTACCCCAGTCACCAAATCAATCCACCTTCTGGAGGGCCTTCCCCTCCTGCGCCTGCCCTTTACCCTCCCAAGCATGATGTCCTTCTCCAAGGACCGCTCTCTCCTTGAAGGGAGTGGGCAGAAGTGGAGGGGTATCTTGATGGATGGTGGAGCAAAGAAATAAGTGGGTCAAGACACTTGTGCCAAGGGCAGGGGCAACACCAAAAACTAATGGTTAATTCTACAATAAGGGATATATTTTCACTTTTTCTGTAAAATGCTTGTCTGTTGGATACTTCTCTAAATCTGAACATTCAGATTAAGACACACTAGGAAGAAGGATTGACCATCCAATTCCAAAATAGCAGGCCTCTGAAGACCCTATATGCAAGTAAGTATTACAGTTTAAAAAAAGAGCTTAATATTATTCAGCCAGAAAGAGCAATGAAATTCTGACTTGTGGTACAACATGGATAAACCCTGAATAAGTAAAAGATGAATTATTAAGAGGTGAATATCTGTTGTTGTTAAGTGCCATCAAGTCAACTATGACTTATAGTGACCGTATGGCCAACAGACCAGAACCCTGTCCTATTCTGTATCATCCTTCTCATGTCTGAAATGCATGCAGTTCATGGTTGCAGTTACTGGGTCAATCCATGTCCTTGAACAGGTCATCCTCTCTTTCACCGATCCTCCATCTTTACTAGTATGTCGTTTTTAAAGGACTGGACCCTCCTGCTGTATGTTGAAAGTATAGATAGTACAGAATGAATAATTCAGCTTTTGTGGTGAAAAAAAGGAGGAGAAGAGGGTGGGTGCATATACGCTTGCAAATATGTCCACGTGAATAGAAAAGAGAAATGTGCACAATAAAATACCAAACTGTTGATGAATTCCTCTGAAGATACAAGTTCTACTTTTGTTACTTTAGTGGGCAATTGGTGGGTTGTTGTTGGGGTTTTTTTTTTTTGGTTGTTTTTTTTTTTTAATTAATTTCAATGAATATTTACAGAGATTTTGGATTTCCATTTATTCATTGTTGCACTTATCTTCCCGCCCATCCCACCCCCACCCCCAGTTCGCTCCTCTCCTTGAAAAGCAAAAGAAAAGGCTCCTTCATTGGTACACAATCCTCCCGCACCGCCCCCTACCCCGAGTATACTCCACTCTGCAACCCTCATTCCTAACTCTTATGATAATCATAAGGACAATTGTTTTTAAAACACCCACTTTCCCCATCTGCCAAACTCTAGGCAATAAGGGAGTGTATACAGTGTGACTAGCCAGCTAAGTCCCTTGGCTTCCAGGGTGCTGACTACAGGTTGGAAGTGTGACCACAAACAGCAAGGAGAACTTACTGCTCCAGTCAAAAATTCCAGTCCAGTGAAGTGGAGGGTGTTTGGCTCGGCCACAGTGAACTGAGGGATTGTGATGAAGCTGAAGTTCACAATGAATGAAAAAATGTTGAACTTCAAAAGCCATTTCAGAAAGTTGAAGTAGGAGAGAACACTGGTTCCAAATTTGCCTCCGATGATCTTGAGCGTCCTCTGCCACAGGCTGATGGTGGACAAAACTTCCGACATGCTGTTCTGGGATTTTTGGTAAACCTGGGTTTCGGATGCAAAATGAGAAATGTTAAAGTCATTCCATAAATACCTCCAGAGTTGTTACGAGTTGTCGAGTCGCTTGCCACTCATAGCGACCCTATGTCGTCCTAAACTCTGCTCTGTCCTGTGCCAATCTCATTGTCTCCGACACACTCATCCTGATTGCTCCAGTCACTGAATCAACCCACCTCCGAGAGGGCCTTCCCCTCCTGCACCTGCCCTCCACCCTCCCAAGCATGATGTACTTCTCCAAGGACTGGTCCCTCCTTACAACATGTCCAAAGTATGTTAGACAGAGGCTCAGAATCCTTGCCTCCAAGGAGCCGCCCGGTTTAACCCTCTCCAGGATG